CCCACCATGGGGGGGGAAGAAGAAAAGAAAGGAAAGCGAGCCTGGGCCCGCGCGAAGGGGAAAAAAAAAGAAAAAAAAAAGAATGGGCTGGGCCCATGCGGGGGAAAAAAGAAAATAGAAAAAGAGGGTCGGGTTGGGCCGGCCTTGGCCCGGCCCGATCCGATTTTTTTTTAAATTAATTTTTAAATTAATTAATTAATTTTTTTTTGAAGATTTTAATAGACCCTATTAATACAAATGTGCCTAATTCCTATATGCAATGCATTGAAATAGAAAATACTTTTTGTTTTAGGAATTAAAGAAAATTAACTCCTAAATTTTGTGTAACTAATTTTGGGCAAATTAAAAATAGGTGTCAACAATGACAAAACATCCTGTATTCAATATCTTTTAGTCACGGTGATGGAGATCCACTGATTTTTGCTCCCGTGCATCTTATATCCTCCTTTTCTTCAGTTAATTTTTTTGGCTTTGTGGGCGGAGGGCAGAAAGGAAAAAACCGGTCCTTTCTCTCTCTCTCTCTCTCTCTCTCCCTCCCTGTCGCGCGCGCGCGCACACCACAATCTCATGCTTGCATGCAGAAATGCTTATGGAAGCACCAACTCATGCAAAGTATGACCTACTACTCCGCAGATTGAAGAATAATACTATTGCTAACAATCTATCAGAACATAAATTGTCTCAATTGGTGGAACTCTCAATCAATATCATTGTGATATTCATTCAGTAGTTATATTAATCTGTTCTCACAGGAGTCTGCCACTATTGCCAGGAGCATGAATTTGTATTTATTTGTTGTCTCAGTAGTTACTACACTTTCATCTTGTTCTTGAAACTTTTTGCATACTGTATAGCCAAACTTATTTAGTTCACCTCTCTGTTTTTTCCAATGCCTATTCATGTTCCTTTGCTCGACTTTCTTGATACTATGTAAAACTCGATACAAAGGATCACGACCTTGACGATAAAACATGATGAAGACTGTAGGCACATTATGATGTCTTACTACTAAAGAATTTTTGTTGTTTTAACACTCTTCAACTTTTTTGGTTACTCTACTAATTATATTGTGTTGGATTTTACTATGCAGTGTTCATTTCCCACATTCGTCAGATCCTCAAAAATATATTTACCCATGCCGAGTAGATCTCACAGGTTTATTTATCATTCTGGTCTGGAATTATAATTTCTTCTTCAAATTTATGTAGCGAAGTGTTGCAATCTTTTTAGGTCCACCAATTGCCAACCGAGAAACTCTGTAACCCTTTTATGATAATCGGATGATTTTTATCATCGCTTGCATTGTCAAAAGGTTCATGCAACGATGAATTGAAAGAAATTACCGGTTCATATCTCAAATCTTACGCTACAATAGCCAACTTCTGAGAAAATGGAAAATACCAATTTGGAGAACAAATAAAGAAATCTGTTTGTAGCTACGATACTAAAGCATAGACCTAATATGAGTTTAGGAAATCGTTCATAGGACAATCCTGGAACGACAGTTTTACTCTATTTTCTGTTAATTTTTACACTTTTATACACACCTGTCATCTTTAGCTTGACACCATCTCCAAAACTTGAGTCAAAGATATGAACTTCGTGAAATGAAGTCTTTCACGTTCAGAATTATCTAGGCACAGTTGATAGGATTACTAAATGTCCTCAGATCTATCTAGGATTGCAAAGCTAGTACTACTTGATTTTGATGTAATGTTATCACGTTATACAGCCTAGAGGCTTTGTTAGATTCTTAGTTTCCGCCGAAATTTAGTGTGGTCTATCTGCAATTTTTTGCTCATTGGCACAGCAGTAATATCTAGCAATGTGCCACTTCAGTACTCCTCTTGGTGCGGTGGTATGTCAGATAATTGTTTGCATGATTTTAAGCAAACTGTAAGATCCTTTCTAAAAAAGTGGTGCTCCAAAAGTGAATGAAACTGTTGCAGAGACGATTTGATTGTGCGTGACTTTGATTTGAGGGTGGGCGCGCGGGTGTGCGTGAGAGAGAGAGAGAGAGAGAGAGAGAGAGAGAGTTTTTGTACAGCTCTGCCTGGAGGCTGTCGGATTGGAGTGGCAATGCATCTAATTTAATCCTTAATTGTACGTGGATTGAGATTGAATATCTCATTGGAACCCTAAAGGAACAAGTGTTGATCAACCTGTATGTGAAATTTGAGATGAAAATGCAGAAGTTGGGACTTCGATTCTTGGTTTGGTGTCTAACTTCTGTGGTTTTGAGTCCATTAGTTGGGGTATCAATCAGAATCGCTGATTTTCGATTCACTTTGGCTGTTAAGAGTAACCAGTGGTGCCTCGCGGCTGGACCGTCCCTTTCCCCTCCGCTCGATCTCACATACACACACCCTCCGTCTGTCCTCGAGGTTTTAGGCATTTTCCTTTTCCCCATTTTTCCGTACTTATTAATCCACATGACGTTGTGGGGAAGCAAAATCGGTGTTCATTCAACGGTCCGAGTCAGCGTTCATGTGATGGCATAAAAATGGTGAATCTCCGTTCTCATTTGATAGTAATGTGGTCCTTGAACCTTACGCGGTCCTTCAACATTTGATACAGGCTCAATTCAGGCCATAGACTCGATAATTCAAGGACTAGATTGAACATTTATCGAAAGTTGAGGGATCACATTGGAAAAATTAAAGTTTCGAGGGCCGCATTGAACAAACTAAAAGTCTAAGCTGCTCGGGGATTACATCGAAACAAATTAAGAACCACGTTATGCTCTGGGCCAAAATTCGGGGACGTTCGCTATTATCTCAAAGTTTCACGAATTTTCAGACCAAAAAAAAAAAAGAAAGTTCACGAATTTTGTTGATGTCATGCGGAATTCCACGAACCGAACCGAATCGAACCGAACCGGTTCACAGAAATTTCAAAATCCGAACCCAAACCAAAGATCGGCAAATCCAACCACTTATCTCTCTCGAACACCCTGCTCCTCCTCCTCCTCCTCCTTCGTCATATTCCTCTTCAGCTCAAATTCAAGAACCCTCGAGCTCAAATCCTCCCTCCCTATCCCCTCTCAAATTCCTGTTCTTGGGTACCCTGAACGACCCCGGTCCCCCAGATTCAAATCCCTCCCCTCCAGTCCCCCGCCGCATCGAGCCCGATTGTGCCCAGGAAAGCCGCCCGCGACGGCGTCTCCGGTGGTGCGATGATCGTCCGGACCTACGGTCGCAGGAACCGCGGCATTTCCATGGACGACGACGACTCGATTTTGGACCCCTACAGGGACTCCCTGTCCTCCCAGGAGACGGCGGCCCAAGATTCGACCGCCCACAACCTGCCCTACTGCGACTCCGACTCCTTCTCCTTCGGTCAGCCCCTGGCCGCGGAGGATTGCCTGCGGCGGCGGAGTCTCGAGGAAGTCGAAGAAGCCGAGGAACGGGGAGGGCAAGAGAGGGCAGGGTTACGTGGAGTACTCGGTGTTGAGGGCGACGTGGACGCTGATGGCGACGCAGGAGTTCGCACCGCTTTCAGAGACGATTGTGACAATTCTGTCAGGAAAAAAGGAGGGTATAATTCAAGTTCTTAAGAGAATGAATGAAGCATTTTTTTCCCAGATAGGAGGAGCCGGATCGATGGCGTGACAAAAAGATTCCAAACCTTGATGGCATTGTTTGTAATTGTTCAAAAATAATGTGGTTCCTCCTCCTCCATAAGTGCCTTTAAACAAAGGGAATACCTATTTAGGATTGTCCAAAAAGGGTGCCCCGTTGCCCGAGGCTTCCTGCATTGGGGGGTCTGGGGAGGGTTTGATGGTCGCTGTTTCCAAAGAGTCTGTTTCCATGAAGTCAGGCCGCAACGGAGTGATAAATTTCCATGGTCAATGACCTTGGCGTAGAAACTCCCCGCCATTCATTGCGTAAACCAGCAAAGATGAGGTGACTTGAGAAAGAGGCTCATAGGTCTTTAGCCGCACGCCTTTTGAGAAGAAGCTATTGTTGTTCTCATATGGCTTTAATGTTCAAACCGGATGGCATCCACAATGTTATGTGCGAAGCTCCAGTAAAAACCATAGTGCATTTTGCAAATTGTGGAGTGGGGTCGAAGATTTTCAGATTATTCTGCTGGCTGTCCGATGGCTTTCATATGGTTCTGTCTTCTCCTGACCCACAAACTTTATTGTGGAGTAATGAATAGAAATGCAGATTAAACTATCTCCAGCTCACAATATGTTCGCAACAAAAACTGCGTTCCTTTCTGGTCGATGTAGTGTGATGCCATCCTACCGTTGACTGCAGCTATCTTATTGTTTACCTCTGATGAGAAAGGAGAGAAGTCTTCAAAGGGATTCCCCACAGCCACATAGTCCAGTAATGTCTTTATCACAATTCTCAATAATCTATTTTGGACGTTCTACTTAAATTAAATTATCTACCTCTGATCATTTTTAACAAAATCTTCTTGGAGTTGCTCACATTGTTTATAAATGGAGGATGGAATATGTAGCAGGCTTGAGAGGGCACATTTCATTGTCGTGCTGTTTCTTTTACTTGTGTTAATCTTCTTTGCTGTCAGCAATTTAGAAAGACAAAGAATGTATTCTTGTCTCCTTTAGAATGAAAAGACTTCTTCCCCATGCAATCCTCCTTTCCGTCCTCTTGCTTTTTCTCTCATTATTATCCATGATACCTTTTGTTACCTATATTTTTTGATTTGTTGCTCAATGAAAGTTAATTCAGGATGCATTTTGGGGCATGAGTATTTTAGGTCGCCCCAAATAAAAAATGATTTTGGTTTTAGAAACAATGAGCAAAATTCATGTAGTTTAAATGTTTGATAACTATTCATTTTGAAATACTTAAATCATCCTATATTAATTTCAAGGGAATGATCTAAAGTTTACATGGTTACAAGTAAAATCAAAAGTAGAAAAGTTAAAGGGCTTGAATTTACACTTAATTTATGAAATAAACAATAGGTTCACATGGCTGTGGTGGAAAATATTTTGTCTATTCAAAATAGTGGATCGTTGACATGCTCACAGTTGACGCTTGATTATGTTCTGTTTACTTTAGAGGAGCTAGGTGACATTCTGCTTTTCATGCATTAGTCAATATTGCACTCTTTTTTGGCTTACTCAAACTGACATTCCTAATGCCTTGTTTTCAGGATGGCGAAGACTATAATCGATGCTCTTATAGGTCTCAATTTTGACAACTCACCGAGTAATCTGGCAGCAGCAACCCTCTTTTATCTTTTGACTGGTGACGTAAGTCATTCAAAATTTGCATGCGATAGAGTGATTTCTTTTCAGCTTCCCTCAATGTGCATCGATGGGATTGAACTTTCATCTAATCAAGTGTTGCTAGTAATTTGAGCCTATAAATTTCCCTGTGAAGAAAACGGCATCACTGTTCCCATATCAGTCTTGTACCTCATAAAATGCTTCGACGGTAGAAGATGTGATTACCTTTCCTGTTTGGCTGGTCATGTATATAAAATTTCGATTACTAGAGTATATATGAGGAATATTCTATTCGGTCCTGCTGAATCACTATGGCAGGGCTCTTCAATCGATGAAGTTTATATGTTTCTACACACAATAATGAATAAGGATGACTGTTTGTTTGTTGGCCCCTAAACTAGAGTATCTTCATATTTCTGAGACTGAAATTGCCTAGTATGTCATTGCTATCGTATTGTTTTTATGGACAAGACATGAATGATGACTGTCACCAAAGCTTTTCACTTAGTTATCTGTTAGTTTTGTAGGTCGATATATATAGATTGGATTCATTAATGATATTATTATCAATCACGAGCCAATAATTCCCACTTCATCATTGTGAACTGATTTCATTTTGTCATTCACTGCATTTAGATATTACATATGAAGTCACCAGTAACTTTGTAATTATCTGGTATCGATTGTCTCAACTTCCAAAAGCTATTGGAGCTCGAAATTATCTAGCAGCAACAACCACTACGCACCACCCCCTCCCCCCCAACCCCAAACCCAAACCCAAAATGCACGTATTGACCTGAGGAAAATATATAAGCCAACAGAACAAACACTGGTCATTTCTTCATCAAGAGTGTTAGGTCCTGAAAAAGCAATACAAGTGGTTGAGTTGTAGATTGTTTTATCTGCTTTTGAGGATGATCTTGCAGCATGTCATCCTTTACGAAACTTCTCTCTATATAAATCTAATCTGCAGCTTTTTATAAAGTGCTTTCTTTAAGTCTCCATTTATTACTCAAAGGCCTTATTTATATCTGAATTACAATCTCAGGGTCAAGACGATCAGCTTTTGGAATCACCAAGCTGCATTAATTTCCTTGTTAAGATGTTGAAACCAATTGTCTCCCCATTTACCGAAGACAAGGTCTCCCAATTTGGTTTTAAGCTTTCAGGATCACGTAAGGATCCTGAGATATTCCATGGGGGGATGAACAAAAAGGATAGTGGCTCTGCCAATATCATATCAAGAGCGAAGGAAATTCCTGTAAGTTGCAAGGAACTGAAGCCAAGCCTTTTGGATGATAGTGGAATTCACAGGCCTGAGCTAAGCCCCAAGTGGATAGCTTTGTTGACTGTGGAGAAAGCTAGTTTATCTACCATTGCTCTTGAAGGTACTATGAACCAAATTAAACTCTTGTTCCATCTCTCTGAAAAAGCTTTTTCTTCCCTGGTATAGATGTAATAGGTCTTTTCTTGGATTACATGAGGGATGTTGCTCATCTTGATGGCACTGACTAGCTAACCCTGGAATATGCAGGAGATTACTTCTTGTGTACATCATAAAAAAAAATAACAATATCTACAACAACTTAAGCTTTATTCCACTAGGTGGAGTTGGCTACATCATTAGATAAATAGTTGGACTTAGTTGGTCTACTACGGAGTTTTGTCATCCAATGGCTTTATTGGTGTTCTGTTGTAAATCATGGTGTCATCTCTCTCTCTCTCTCTCTCTCTCTCTCTCTCTCTCGTGTTTCCCCCTAGTAGTTGTTTTGACTAAATTCCTTTTCTTAACAACTGTATCTGGATAAGTTCTGTGATTCTTTTGTTGCTGTTGTTGTGCCTGCTCATCTTCTCACATGAGTAAAATGCATATAGCGTTTTATTTCTACTATAATGGTGAACACCTGCATACTCAATTTCTCAATTATGCCCAGCGATTTTCAGCAACTGCTGGAAGAATTTCTCTTTTTAAAATTTTGAGTTAACTTTTCTATGTATCTTCAAATCATTAAAAAGCAAGTTATTGATCTTCCATCTCGTAGTCTCCCTTGTTAGTCTTCTGATCTGCTTTAAAGTTTACGAAATGCTCGTCATTGATTTTCTTGCAACTTTTTGGTAGATTAGCTCCTAATCTGTGTATTAAATATAGCAGAGTATTTGTAAGTTATATTTTCTCGCTGCTTCCTTTGTTTCTAGCGTAGTCCTCACTGAATGCAGACTTATCTTTCAAGTTAATTCTTGCAGAAAGTTCTAGCAGAGTATTTGATTGTTTGAGATGGATTTGCAGAGAGATGAGAGGTTGCGCGAATGGGAAGCACGGTTGCTGGAAGAGACCGTGCCTCTTTTGTAGGATTCTAAAACGGCTAAAGTGAGTTTAAAATTTTAATTTTCTTCTTTGAGATTGCCATTTGACTCCCAAAAATTTATGGAGTGAGTTAAGTGAAATAATATTTTTCACTGTGGAGCGCTGTAGCGGCGGAGCCTGAATATTACATGTTACTCTCTTAAGTAAAACACGATCCAATTCGATCCCCTAACAACAAATGAATTAAATCTCTTGGTAGCCTGTCTATCATCTAATACAAGATTATCCCATCATTATTAGACTGGATAATCCAATTAGCTAGCCAATCTGCGCATGCATTTTTCTTTCTATAATTATGGAGAATATTGACCTGTTGAAAATATATGATTATATTTGCAATTTGAGAAATGAGTATGCTGTCGAAATCAAGAGATCAAGTTGAATATTGAAGTCGATTCGACCTTCGCAATTAGTTTGGTAATACACACTCTCACCGTTTGCGCGAATCCCGCAAGCCAATTGCCTTAGTCATCACGAAGAAGTCCACTTACTGAAGCTAGACTCGAGTTGTCTTTAGAGGTTCCGTCGGAATTGAGTTTGATCCAATCATAATGAGAGGGGTCCAATCCACAAACTTATTTACTTTCTCTCCGTGGCACATAATCTCGTTTCTACCATCCCAGCAACATGCATATCCTTAAAATATCCTAAGATCAGATTCATAGATACGCCGAGAAAAGATAAGCCCGTTTGGGATAGCCTTTGGTTCCTCCAAGTCCACAAATGTCGGCAAGTTACACCAATTACTAGCACCAGGTTACCTTTTTTTTTCCTCTCAAGTTTGAGTATATATGGCGAATTAAATCTTTACAAAAAAATCTGATCAGACTGTAAAATATTTGTTTTTTTGGTTATTTTTTATGAGTTTGAATTATTATATATTATGCATTCGTTGGACCATGTTTAAGAGTGTGCAACACCTAATTCAATTCAAATCAATCGAGTATTCAAAGATTTTTATCCATTTAACTTGAGAAAAAAGCTTTATGTAGCCAAATTTAAGAATTTGACCGTTTGATGATCTTTGGGATATATCTTCCCGATATACAATTTTGAAAGTCTTTAATCTCAACGTGACTCTCTATCTTGGAGTGGAAGATGAACTTAGCTTAGTACATGCCTAAATGAAAATTAAAAAAAAAAAAAAAAAGAAAGATAGAGTGAGAGGAGCTTGTTGAAGGGTATAACTAGAGACATAATTGAAAAATACACCAAAATATCCTATTTTGGAAAGGGAAGAGTCTGTTTTGCCCAAAAAAATTATAAACCACCAATCGCCAATAGGCATACGGCCAATTTGGTAAAGAGACTGGAGGGGGTGTAGACGCTTGTATCACAGGCGCGGGGTTCCACTCCCGCGCTCTGCAAGAGGCAAAACAAAAATCAAAGAGCGATGAGAGTTAGGGATAGGACAGACAAGAAAAAAGAACCACCAATCTAAAAATAATATCACCTCAATTTCCTCGGACATTCTCCTTGAAAATGTAATCCGTGGAAATACATATAGTATGGAGCTTGAGGTCCGTAGAGTCGAGGACGACCTTCTATTGTGAGAAAACCATTGGCTCATTCAAGGGGTTGCAACTCGAGAGTGACGATCCAATCTAAGACCGGGTTGACTGAGGCCGGGCCAAAAAAGTCGGAAATGTGACCATTGCTCCGATGAGCCTCCCAAAGTCGAGATTGTGATTCTTGTGGCTTATTTTCTTGTTTACGTAAGAAGCCCATTTCTAAGTCTTGGTTACTGTACCCGTCGGATATAATCATTACGGAACGAGCAGATGTCTCTAAAGACAACCTCTTTCTTGTTTATGTAAGAAGCCCATTTTCTTGATGTGATGCGGGGCCAAGAAAGTTATGTATTGATTTTGGATGATAAAGAACTGGTAAGTCGATTTCAAAATAATATCTAAACAAGTTACTATATGATTTGCCTGTCCGAATAAATTTTTTTTTTGTAGGCGATAATGGGTCATCTTAAAATTTTCCAAGATCAATTTCGGGTGGGGTTGCTCGGGATTAGCATTCGATTTTTTTTTTCTTTGCTATTTCCTGTTTTTCTTTTGCTGCGGGGGTTTGATGTTGATCTTTGTTTCCCTATGTTTGCAAATTTTGGATGAGGTTGCATGAGTATTATTGTTCGGTTTTGTTTTGCCTTCTTTCCGGTTTGGCTAGGAGGGTTTGAATATGCATGCATACTTATGTCATGAGTGAGTCCACCGATCAATAATTTTTGGGTTAATGGAGAAGTAACCATGCATTGACTTGTTTTATTAAAGCCGTTGGAAGCTGTAACCGTGTATATATCTTTTGCTTTTAGCAAGGCTTCTGTCAAGAAATTAAAGAACATATTCATGACGAAACAATCCCATGTGTTCATGCTTTATTGATTATTTTTTTATTTCATTGATAATTTAGGATTGGTGTTCAACTTGTGGGGGTTCTCAATTAGTTTTTGGCTTCTATAAATGATATTTGCGTTGGCATTTTTTGAAGCGAAAGTCATGTTTTAGAAACAGAAAATTCAGGCATGGTAAAAGATCGTACATTACTTCCAATAGGAACACGAGGAAAAGTAGACTCGGCAAGGTATGCCGTTTCCTTCGGGTTTAGAATGATGTGTGGACCGTGGAGCTTTCGTTTTACGTTGGTGCCATGAGCCAACACTTATTTATCTATCTTGTTTACCTACTGGGCCCATGGTAAATGGATCCGGTAAAGCTTTTTGCAACATAGCAAATTTTTCAACCCAGAAATTTCATCCGGCATGCACAAGCTCGCTCTTCATACATAGCTAGGTAAAAATGGTAAAAAGCTACGCATGTATGACAAACCAAAAGCCAGACATTTCCCCTTGCGGAAAGGAACAACGTAACGGTTACCCCGAGCTATTTCATAGAAAGCCATGAACATCATGATCCACACGGTTCAAGATTATTTTACGAGTTTTGATCAAATTCATATGAACTTTTCCATGTTGGACTACACCGTCTAACAAAAGGCAAGACGGGACTTCTTAACATACGAAATAACTTCAGAGATGCTGGACTCATGCTATTCTGACACAGATCTGTTTCTATGAATTCCTCTTACGTAAAAGAATCACCACTACGATGGAATCCACATAAGCGAAGATGATAAATCAAGCAATGGCTGAATGCTAATTCTAGGCAGGGCTCATTCAGAATACAACATGGCAATCAGCAAAGCATAAGCAAACTACTTTCCTTATCTTTACTTACAAGCGCAAAGGAAGTTCGCCCTTTTCTGGCATAATAAAAGAAGCATAAACACCAAGCTAATAGGAGAAATATCCAGTTCTTCCGACTCTGACATTACTGCAAAATAGCTTATCAACCTTCATAGCTTTTCTAAGTATTGAGAGGTGCACAATGAAGCTCTAGGATGGGAAGCACTCCAACAGAGACACAGATTGCCTTGGTCAAGGCCAAACCCACAAAGGCCAAGCCCAAAGAACATCTTCGGTTGATATTCTTCTCTGAAAAGAAAACTTCACTTAGACAGATACGAGTCGCAGAGTCATACTTTATGTTTGAGAAGCACTCCAGGAAAGTAACAAAGTATAAGAACCGACAGAGGAGGGCAAGACACAAAAAATGGAGGCCTCAGATGCCTAAAAGGGAGGCGCAAACTGCCAATGAAGTTAATGCACAGCTATATCATCGATCGAGACGTCATTTTAGAGCTACGCACGCAATTGACTTTATACAAACAAAACAAAAAGTTGGAAGGCTAGTGCATGAGGATGGTTCAGTAACTCAAGGATATGAGAAATCGATATCGATGACAAACACAAACAGGCAATGTCCACAATGAAGTGCTAGGGCAACGGAATAAACGATGGTCGGCACGAAACTCTTTCCACCGAATGGGGAATTTATAAGTTTGCTAATCGAATGCTATCATCAGTGTAGTGTGAACTCTTTCTTAATCGTCGCTGTCGACATGGGCTTCTAAGGGGGATAACCTCTCTGGAATAAAGATTAATCACGAAGAAAAATATTACACAGCTGTGTTTGCACATTTATCAATTAGGAGGCTGTTTCGTGAGAATGATGCCATTCATTCTCAAATTAACCTTTTTCCTCCCCATGTTTCTAGCTCGACTTACAAAGCAAACGCGACGCGAGCAAGAGATTAAAGGGCCTATTCCGTTTTAGAACCGGGAGCGAGTGAAATTAAGCCACGGGCTAATCGATCGTCATTCAATTCCGTAAAGGGAAGAAAGAACTACCACAAGCAAAACATCGCTCAAAATCTCTGATTAGCGCAAGGTTAAGAAGATGTCATACCAGCCACCGCTGTGTAATTTCAAAAGGCACACCACAACTTTCTGGAAGGAGTTCCCCACAAACATTGCAGGCTCCGAGGGAAGAACTAGGGTGGGAACAGGAATCCTGCTTTGGGGTTGTTTCTGCGCAATAGCAAATGCAGGATATTATCTTGTAATCAATCCTAGAGGAAAATAAAGAGTACAGCGGTGGAAGAGCATTGGTGACTGAAAAACAAACGCTAGCCCGTCATTTTACAACAGGAGCATGAGGCAACAGTAAAAAGAACAAGCAAACTGGATAAATAAAACCAGTTACATGACAACAGTGGAAGCAGGTTTCGCATAAGTTTCGAGAGGCATACCACGAATTTCTGGGAGGAGTTCCTCAGGAACATCGCAGACTCCGAGGGAAGAACTAGGGTGGGAAGAGGAATCCTGCTTTGGGGTTGTTTCTGCGCAATAGCAAATGCAGGATATTATCTTGTAATCAATCCTAGAGGAAAATAAAAGAACAACAGCGAAAGAGCATTGGTGACTGAAAACCCCCACTGGAAGCAGGTTTTATGTATGCGTTTGCAGAGCAAGAGCACCCATCAGTTTTACCCCTTTGTTTCAGACCCAGAAACATCACAGAACGCGGCAATCAAATCGAGTTTACAGGCAACACCGTGACAACCCAGAACGCATCCCCCAACATTCCTATAAACCCTAAAAAAGGGCAAAAGACGATTCAACCTTTGAGACCAAGGAAAAACAGGCCCGTTCGTTAGAGTTCCTATTCATCAGACCAGACAAGGGGAATCTCAGCCAAAAGCGGAACAGGAAATCATGCGTGCGAGCCGAATCAATTCCACACAAAATTTTCCCAACTCCCTCCGCTCTACGACGAGGTAAGACACAAAAAAGCATACGAATCGCGACAACCGGAAATCATAAAAATCGACAAAGCCAACCGATAATCCTGAAATTGTAAAAGGAAATATCGCTTCAAATATGATAGAATGTTGTTAGTTTATTTGTGTTATGTATAACGATCGCTTTATACTTACCGAATATAACCAATTTCATATTGTACAAGAGTCGAGTTCGTCGGGAGCCAATTCTATTTAATTCGACTCGCTCGTCGGGTCACTCTTTTTTGAGTAACTATTACATCGTATGGAATCGGAAGCAACTTTGCTCTCTAGGGTACATTATACTGCAAATAGTTTAAGTCAATTTTTTGAGCGATGTAATCCCGGCAAAACAAATCAAGGTCGGTGATATCGTTCTATTCGGGTGGGACACTCGTCATTGGATGCTTCATTATGGAGGTCGTGAGCGTCGGGACCTAGCCAAGCACATTGCATGCGTCCATGTGCAATTCTTCTGGTAAAAAAGAAACCAGAATGTTATGAACTTATCGAGATTTACAGATTCCGAGGAGAGATTTATGGAGACGATTAGATTTATTTCCTTTTTTTTTTTTTGGTAAATGTAAGATGAGATTTCTTTCCTTTTATTTTCTCTTTTAAACATATATCTGTTCTGGTTGATGAGTAGCATCATGCATGGTGTAGGACAAGTTAATGTGACTTATGAGTTTGTTGCTAAGCCCGTATTGAAGTTCTTTTGTGTTGAAGTTGACTGGTTTGAAATAAATCCACTTTGAATCGTCACTAGGGTAAAATAGTAGAGCGATTATGAAGAAAGTAGTTCAAAGAAAGCAAGGTTTAGCGTAAGACTTATACTTTCGTCAAGGATTGGCTTCATTTTCAATTAGGGGATGGATCGGATCGATTTAGTTTACCCTCCTTGAATAGATGGGCATTATCTCTTTCAAGATTCAATGATCATAATTATCCGACTCCATAATTTACATTCAAAACCCTAAGCCCGCGTTTCGTCGTCCGGATAAAAGTCATTTTGGGCAAAGAATAATTTATATATTTTTATGATGATAAGATCGATATTATATTACGGGCACTACGTAAGGGCATATATGTCAATAGATAGGATATGACAAAATCTAAGGTTTTCTTATTTTATCCAGTCTTATCCTCATTAGAAATATGGACGACCAAACGCAGCCTAATGCCATTATTAAACAAATCATTAAATCCGACCAAGCTCTCTAGCCACTCAGCATCCAGCCATTAACCACGACTCCGGCCGTCTCTCTCTCTCTCTCTCTCTCTCTCTCTCTCTCTCTCTCTCTCTCTCTCTCTCTCTCTCTCTCTCTCTCTCTCTCTCTCTCTCTCTATGATTTCTAAACATAATTTCCTTAATTATGTCACTACGTTTTCTTAATGTGTTACGGTCGATTTAGTGAGCCTTATGTATTCTATAGTAGTTTGCAAGTTTTGACTCTGGCCTTAGTGACTGAGTTGATTCTATCAATTATTCTCAAGTGAAGAAAGGGAAACAAATCAGTCATTGGTGGAGAGAATAACGAGAATTTTTAGTTGGGATTTCATGTGATCCATGATCTATTTATATCTTGTGATCATCATCATCATAAGATCGTCACCGGATCGATATCTTTTTCTTAGTCGATGTGATGGGATTGTGTGAATGTCACCATTATATGGAGGACTTTCATTCGGGTCAACCCTTACATAGCTCTCTTTGTTATTGGAAAATCAAACCTTCCATGGTTGATTTGATTTGATCATACCCATATTCCTCAAGCGCCACTTAAAAATTGAAGAATTCGAAAAGGAGTAAACCTCCCTTTCGGCCCAAAGCGGTTAAACCAGAAACTTACCCTCAACTGATCTTTCTGTTGAAGGTTTCTTGAAGAGGCCACACGCAAAATCCATCGCAAGTGATCTCTCTTGCACGGGTCAGTCCTTTCTTCTTTTCACCCATCGACATTCGTCTATTCTTCTTCCCTGAAGAAGAGCAGTGCTGCTGCGTCGTATCCGTTGGCTGATCAGGCCATCAGATTGCTCACAAATCAAGAGCCGATCATCCGTCAAATACCCTATGAACGAACCCTACGACTTCCAGTGGTGGACCTGATCGCATTCTTTTGGTTGGTTTTCTGGAAGTCCAAATTCATTTGATTTACTTGGTCGTCCGCTTTCTTCTTAATGGATGGGAGTCTTCATAAACGCTAAACGTTTACAATAACAAACGTATATGAAGATGATCTTTATTAGGATTCACATTTTCTTCTCATTGTTTCCTGTTGCAACAAAGGGGATCAAAGATTTGCATTACTCCATTCAGGGTTGTTCCTTTATAGCGGGGAAATTGTTTCCATCAAGATCACCATTTCCGCTTCCTCCATCGTAACCCACCAACAATTACGACAAGAAAATCAAGAAGATGCACAACTTTTTCCCATCAAACGATTTTCCCGAGTCCAGCAATGCCCAGTCATCGCCACCGCCAGAATCATCGAACCAAGTTAACCAAGCTACTATGAAGAAGACGCTTTTCTATGACTTCCTCCCAAGCAAAGCCGTCGAAGACGCGGAGAGGGCCCAGAACATTCCCCACCGGGTCACTTGGCAACTGATCGAAATCCGAGATGGATATCCACTCCCTGCATCCGAGTCTCGTGAATGCCCGACCCTCATCAAGGTCATCGACGAGCTAGAAGTTTTCACGGGGAAGCTGTCTGTCTTGCACCACAGGGCCTTCGATTACATGTTCCGTCACTGGCCTATGCCCATCGTGCAAGATATCTTGACGGGGGGTGAGTACCGAGTGAAGATATTTGACTCCACGGACTACGACCGTGGCAGCGGCAACGATAGCGAAATCATGTCTCCGTGGTTTTGCGGAGGGAACGTTTGTTTCGCAAAGTGGCGCGGTATGGATCATTACTTTCTGAACATGGGCGAGGTGTTCCGGACGAGACGAATTGCGGTTGGCGATGTGATTCATTGCAGTTGGGACGCTCAGAGAGAGTGTTTTGTTTTGAAGGTGGTGCGTGGAGAGACCTAATGAACGATGATCATGCGCATGCACGATGCATGCAATTTCCAGATCTACAGATTCGGTGCAGAACTTCTTGATGACGTTACTTCTTTCTTCTCCGTTTTTCGAGTTTTTTGTTCTTGATGAGCAGCTTCTTGCAGAGAAAGTCAATGCGATTGATGAGTTCGTTCTTTTGCCATCATTTTCCCTCCCTCGTATAAAGGAAAATTGAAAGCAGGCACCGTAGAAAGCTTTTCATCCATCCTTGATTTGAGGGTTGGTAAGAGAATGGATTCCCTCAAATTAAGGGTTAATAGCACCGCTCGCGTGAGAAAAAAAAAATTTACTCCACCAGACTATATTAAAATTACTAGTTAATTAATTCCTATGTTGAAGTTTTTTTTTTTTGACTGATTCGGTAGAATATAGAGATACTTTGAATAAAACAATCAAATCATGGATTCAAAGTGCGTTCATATATGATATATATCTCTGTGGTCTTAACTAATGCACCTGGACCGTTGTTAACAAGATCCGTCTTAATGTTCCACAGTGTACTCACAATTTCTTTTTCATTTGGGTATACATTAGCATCAGTTATTATTTACCCTCTTTAGATGAAGTGATCCATCAATCTCTTTTAAGACCCAAAATGGTCAAGATTGATCGGATTGCACAAGCTATGGAAAAAACCCTCGTTCCCAAAACGAACAAAATCTTAAACCTTCCTTCCCAAAACAACCATTGCCATGCTCGATACTTCTTAAAGTTTTGACAGATAAACAGTTTTTCAAATTTGAGGGTTCGTAAAAGAAAAGTTATCCTCATAATTTGTGTAAATCGGAACTCTCAATTACATTATTTAGTAAAGCATCATTCATATAAAGGTGGATAAATCGAATATGTCATTGTACCACATAAAGGGAGAGGATCTTAATCTTAAGGCTCCGTTTGTTTCGCGGAAAATGAATAATTTGAAAAATATTTTCCTAAAAATAATCGCTTACATCGCTTAAAATAATTAATCAATAAATAATATTTTAAGTATCGACAACAATTTATATCTAAATATTTTCAGGAACGATGAAAATGTGATAATTAGTCAATAAATAACCTCCTTCGGTGTTGTGTCACGGCTTAGAGGTTTTCTATACAAAGGACTATGCACGAAGGATAGGCAAACCTCGAAATTTCCAAGTCCTAGGATTTTCTTGTGTATTTTAGAACACTCATGGGGCAAGCAATATTGTAAATGTATACTCCTGTGACAAATACAGGTAGTTGGTAGATGGGAAGATATGATCTCTACCGTTAATTTGAAGAAAGATCAACGGATGTAGTTAGCCCTGTACTACAATTGTGTCTATTCAATCTTAAACTTTTTTTGGTCAATTGAATCATAAAACTTTTGCATTTGTGTCAATTCAGTTCATCCGAATCATTTTGGCCGGCTAGCTCTAATGTGGACAATTTTTAATAATGTTTTAATATTTATGAAATTTTATTTTTTTTATTTTCTTTCTCTTTCTTCTTTTTTTTTTATTTTCTTTCCTTCTGGCGAGGAAGAAGGAAAGAAAAAATAAATTTAAAAGAATCGGAAAAAATTAAAATATTATTAAAAATTATCCATGTCAGCGCTGACTGAGCCATGTATGACAATCAATGTCCATATCAACACCGGCAGCCAAAATTGGCCGAATTGATTTAATTTACACAAATACAAAAGGTTAGCACTTAATAGGCCAAAAAAAAAGGGTTAATGACTGAATCAGCACTATTGCACTTGTATGTATCATCTCACAATTAATAAATATTCAGAGTTTCTCTCTCTACGCCTTGTGAGTGGGCGAGCGAGTAAAGTTAACTTAGGAAGAAATTCTTAAGATCGTAAGTATAAAGGGATGCCTGATGAACCGTCCCGTGACACTTGGTTGAACAAATTCCTTTTTATCATTTTCAAAACCATTTGAATAAGAGAGCAATTATATCGATTTTGTTCTTAAAACAGATTTTCACCTAGAAAAAGGAAAACATTATATAACACAAGTATACAACCCTTCATTTTTTTTCTTTAAGTAAGTATATAACCCCTTTATTCAAGCTTAAGTAGGGGTGTGCATTGGGTTCGGTCTAACCTAGTAATTCGATCGGACGAAACTGAACTGGCTAGTTTCTGAGCGGCTCTCGATTCCACGTGAGGAATCGAACTAACAGCTCGATCAAATTTCTTTATTTTTTATTTTTTTATTTCGAAGCAAAATCCTAATTAACAAGTTATTTTTTTCTTTTAATGTTGGGAAACTCCCACTCATAGGAATAAAGAGAAATCCCAAAACAAAATCGCCTGTTTCGAGGCTGATCTTGCGACCGGACAGGACCGATCAGTCCGGTCCGGTTTGGTGGTGGGCCAATTCTCGGTCCGATACACCGGAAACCGACCCTGCCCGCTCCTGTTCCGGGTTTCAGGACGGGAACCCGACCCGCCTTGGAAACCGATCGCCCGCGAGCCTCAGCAAATGAGATTCGGGTCGGGTCTCGACCCGCAGTTACACCATTTCACGCGGACGAGCCAGCATGCGACTCCGCTTTCTCTCTCTCTCTCTCGAATTTACTTAATTAATAAGACAAACTACAAATCAAACAGATCGCGCATCGATTCGGCACAAGAGAGAAAAAAACACCCATCAGCGACGAGGCGCCGAGATCTCGATCCCCATCTTCTTCATCTTTTGCTCTGCGCTTGCCCAGCTTCTCGAGGCGGCGAGATCTCGACCTTCCTCCCGATCCCCGCGCGATTCGTCTCTTGACTCGGCCGACGGAGAAACCATGGCCCCGGTCTCGGCCCTCGCCAAGTACAAGCTCGTCTTCCTCGGAGACCAGTCCGTGGGCAAGACCAGCATCATCACCCGTTTCATGTACGACAAGTTCGACAACACGTACCAGGTCTCGCTGTCCCTCTGTCTTTTTCCTTTCGCGACCAATTTCGGGTGTCTTTGCGGGGGGTCTTTCCATTTTTTTGGGTTCGTTCGGGTTTTGGGTTGGTCCCGCCGCGTTCTGGGTCCGCGGCGCCGATTGAATCCCGATCTTCTTCTTTTTTTTTTTTCCGTTCGTCGTTGAGTGATGCTGCTCTGGAAGCGATCGGTGTTTGCCCATTTCGATGGTTGAATTGGGTCTTGGGTATTGTTCTCGATACGATGCGATGATGATGGTTCGATCTTGATCCGGGGTCCCAGCTGGATCTCGTAGCAGTAGTCATCTCGTTTTGTTGTGTTCTTCTATCAGTTTTGGGAGATTCGGTGGTACCTTCATGATGGAGTGAGCTTATAGCATTGTCGCTGGAGTTCCCTGTCAGCTTCGTGTTTTTATGTTTTGTACATGCGGTTGGCGAGATCGTTTGAATTGACGTTCTGGGTTGTCGAGAACATCAAATTATCGGTTCTTAGGGCGTTTCTTGTTAGTTGATGTTGAAGTTTCAGGAAAATGGGCTGTGGATATCAAATCTTGGCTGATTGTAGATATATTAGAGAGTGGGATGTATCTTATACTCTATATCTTATACTCAATTCCGATTTTTTTGTTACTTGTAGAATTTTAAAAGATGTTAAGTCAAAATTTGACGAGAGTATGCTGTCAACCTATCGTAAATAGGTTGTCATAGATTCAGCCTACCTTTCTGCCATTCGTGAGAATCGCAGACACTGGTGGATGGCCATCCAAAATTTTAAATGCGATACCTTTGTGAAAATGTGCTACAGGATTTGAGTTGTTTGAAGGCTTTAATGCTGAAGGACTTCTGTAGATTTCAATAGCAGGCTTCAAAAAGTTGTTCTCTCTTTAATTGTTGGTTTGCTTCACATAAAGTAATACTACTAAGGGTACTAGATAGATTGATTAGATGTTTTTATGTTTGGAAGTTGAAAGTATAACACCAGAAATACATTTCTGATAAAGTTTTATGCGACATGAAGGTTTTGGGGGCAAAACCTTTGAGCTAGTCCTTTTATTTGCATTATAATAGTATCCTGCGACAACAGTTCATCAAGCGTGCTTGTCATTGGGTATTATACTTATTGCTAAACTTTAACATGCCATAATGACGTTTACCTTTTGCAACACTAACATGTTAGTCACGGTGGATTTTAGCTGCATCTGCAAAAGATTTTTTTCTCTGTGTTTCCCTCTAGGTACCTTCATTTGATGTATATTAACATGGTCGAGTGATTGACTTGTCTGTGCATTAAATCTTCTAAGCAAACTGACTGCTGTCCTATGATGCATTTGAATACTGTAGCATATTAACGTAAGCTTTGATGGTGTTACAATTGTCCAGGCCACTATCGGTATTGATTTCTTATCAAAGACAATGTACTTGGAAGATCGAACTGTGCGGTTGCAGCTCTGGTGAGACTTTAGTTAGTTTTCATGTTATGGGTGCACATATGGCTTGTCGCATTGATGTTCATTTCTAGTGTTCATAACATAATGCATCCACAATTCTATGATGTAATAAGCAGAGATGGTACATGGGTTGGCCCATAAGTTGACCATTTTGAATAAAAAAATGTTGAATCTAGAAAGTGGGTTGTATATGCATATGTTGCAATATCATTTTGTTGTCACGCTTCATAGTTGTATCACATTGAAGTAGTTGCTACTTTGTATGGTTGAGGCTCTTGTGAAACCAGAGTTTGTCCAATATGCGAAAACGACCAAAGATGTAATTTTATTGCCGCTTATGAATTAACATGACTAAGTAGTTTTCTGGGTGCTGTCAATCACGGATTTTACCCTGTTATTCCAAAGATTAGTTTGTAAGGGATTCTATGTAGACTGTATTTTGATGATTCATTGACACTAGTGAACTTCATGGATCAAGTTACTTGATGTGGAAATCTGAAACTTTAAGCTCTCTCTTATTGTTGATATATCTTTGTGTATCAAGTAAGGTATTAGCTGATGATGAGACTGTTGAAGAGGGAGTTTTTTTCAATACTTTTTGTGGCCACTAAGTAGCAGTGTTTTGAAACTCTTCCAAACTAGCCGATCAAACAAGTTTAACCAAGTATAAGTTCGTCTCTTGGTATGGATTTTTGATTGGTTCAATGTGGTAACAGAAACTGATCAGTTCGGTCTTTGGTATAATTTGTAAAGACTGCTGAATACCTATCCATCTATTTAGTTCATTATAACATCATTTCCACGAGTTGTCATTTTAGTCCTGTGGGTGATTGGGTTAGAGTCACACTACCAGTTTGTGAGTGTAGATTTGATTTGTAATGCTTGAATTAAGGTTTGCTTTTGACCGGGTGGAAACATAGAATAAGATATTTCTGCACCTATCTATTTTTCTTGTCCTGATTGGATATGGCTTCTTTTAGTGCAGAAGGATATGCATTGATCTTTTTGTGACATTGTATTCACTTGCTTTAAAAATTAAATGCTGATGTGTATTGCAGGGATACTGCTGGACAAGAAAGGTTTCGGAGTCTGATACCAAGTTACATAAGGGATTCTTCCGTAGCAGTCATTGTTTATGATGTTGCAAGTATGATATTCTTGCTTCTGTTCCGACTTACCTCATGTTGTTGGATGAAGATTATTGTCTTAAATTGCAGTATATATCAGCAGTTGTTTCTAGTCATATATTTGTTTTTGGAATTCTTTCTTTTCTATTAAATTCATATGCATTCTTCATCTGGTTAGGTTGTATCATTCATAAATATCTCCATATGAATGGGTTTGTGTGGCTTTCTTTTTCTCCTCACTGCTTTTCGATTTTTGTTCCCTGTGCCTGTTGTATCTTCCCATTCTGCATGTAATTCACAGATAGTGAATCAATCCTACATCTATGTTGGTTTCCTAGCAGAGAAGGGATTTCGAGCCTTAACCTTCTCTTTTTTGAGCTTAAAATCATGCTTGGTTTGCAAAATTGCTTGAGGAATTGTGATTAATTACTATTGTAAGAAAGTGCTCTGTGACTTAATCATTTGAATAGGGAATAAGGCTAGATCAAGTGCATTTCATCTCCTGGGCTTCTTGCCTTCTCCATTTTTAGTTCTTTCCCATTTTGTCTTTTTTCTCTTATGCACATGCGTGTGCAGCTCTTTTTTTTTTTTTCCTTTCAAATTTTGGGACTGGGACATCTGGATCACACCCCTTGGTGCCCATGAACAATTTTCTTTCCTAACAGAAGCTAGGAAGTGTAGGTTCTAGCAGGAAGTAGAATAGGTAGTAAATGTCAAATGAATTCTTCAAGTTGTGAGGTATGACATAAGAATACATATATATGTGCATTTATAGGAGTTATAAATGCCAAATTGCAATTGTTTGTAATTTGAACTTCTTAATTCTTAATCCAAGAAAATCATTAAAAAACCCTTAGTTGTAAGTAGGAAGAACCTTTAACAAGCGCTTAGTCTGCATGCACTTTGTCATTCAGTTAATATTGTTGCACTTGATATGGTTTGTCAGGCCGACAATCATTCCTCAATACTTCCAAATGGATTGAGGAGGTTCGCACTGAAAGGGGAAGTGATGTTATCATTGTACTCGTTGGAAACAAAACCGATCTAGTGGATAAAAGGTAAGTTTGCTCTATTTTATATTTTGGAATGAAAAAGTTGTTTATCATGGGAATAAGATTTACTGGTTTGCTTTTGAAGTTAAGTTTCATTCTCTGCTACCTTGAGTGCTTGCAAGACTGCATTTCTCAATATTTGGTGTGCACTTTGACTCACTAATGTCATTAACAAGAAGAGCATATTTTTCTTGCAAGTGCTGGAGATTACCTTCTTTCTGTGGTCAATCCTTAAGACATCACCTTCACCTCATGTTTTGCTTCTTAATATTGGCCAGGCAAGTATCAATAGAAGAGGGAGAAGCCAAAGCTCGTGAGTTGAATGTTATGTTCATTGAAACTAGTGCAAAAGGCGGTTTTAACATAAAGGTAATCATCAAATGACTTGAAGCTACTATTTCCTGGTATTATACAGCATGCATACTTTTTTTTTGTACAGAAAGAGTTTCTATTTACAAGCATCAAGCTACTAGCATACACATACTGTAATGTTATGAGAGAGATTGTCTGACTTGGAAAGTCAAGCATTGTTCTTACGATACCAAAAATTTAGAGTCCATGTAATGGGTTATAATCCAAAAAAAAGTTTGATATAGTTAACCTTCTGAATACACTTTCTCACCATACCCAAAGTTCCTAGTACCTCCAGGGAATAATAAAGGGATCTAGTGGATGACTCTACTCTCAAATACATTATTGTTTGTTCTTCCTTTCCATGCTAACTGAAAAACGATGGCAGTAATAATGGACACTCAATGATAGTTAACCAGTTGTTAGATCGTTATTATCAATCATGTGACAACCCCATGTTTAGAAAACCACTCTCTTTCCTTTGGTTTCTTAAGCTAAATATCAATGTATCATACAGGATGGTAAAGCATACCCTGATCTTTAGTCGATGCGTGACTTAAGCTACTTTCCTATTGTACTTGTGTCAATTAGTTCATGCTCCCTTTTAATGCAAATTGTATTCTTGATCACTGTGTAAAATGTAAATTATCTTTCGAACTTGTTTGTCTAGGCTTTGTTCCGTAAGATTGCAGCCGCCTTGCCAGGAATGGAGACACTTTCTTCAACAAAGCAAGAAGACATGGTTGACGTCAATCTTAAGTCTACCAACCAAAATGCGTCTCAGTCACAACAGCAGTCTGGTGGATGTGCCTGTTGATAGATTCGTGCTTGAGCATGTCATCTTTGCTGAACATCGTCTCGATATATGCTTCCTTTATCATTTTGAAGTGTCTTGTAAGTTTATATTCTGGTTTCCTTTTCGTAGCATGGAGATTTTGGTCGGTTTGTTTTTGCTTATCCTCATACATAGGATTTGTCTGACTAGCCTTTTAGGTACCAATGTTGTGAACTCAGAATGACTCAGACTAGTACTAGTATTGTGATATAATTGAAGTCTATGTGTTTCCATTCTCATAGTGGAAGAAAGAACCTTACCGATAGAGTCAGGATTACTCGGTCTCTTTGCATTTATGTTGAGGATTATAGAGAGCTGCAATTGTGAATATTGTCATGCTAGAAATACAAATTGCAATACTTTCAATGGAGGGTTGGTTGGTCATCTACATCCTCAACAACTCTCTGGGAAGGAGAATACAGCCAGTGTGTAATACCGCCTTTGTGGCGTCCCTCTTTACTTTCTTTGTTTCTGTGTCCCTCGAAGTCCTCGAATCGCATTACAAAGTGTGGCCTGAACACAATTCATAGACATATGTGCGGCTAGGGCAAATTTTACGGTGTCAATGGTGTTTAGAAGGATGAAAACTCGAAATTGTTCCCTGGAGTGTAACAATAAGGTTATCCGCCAATGTTTGTCATCAGCTTTTGTCAACTTTTAGTTGGTGCAATGAAGAAATTAGTATCTTAAGTTGACTACTCTACTAGTCGCTCGACCCGCGCTTGCAGGGTTGGTTTATAGGGAATATGGCAGATAACTGATTAAATGGACTTTAAGACAAATTAATATCTAACCAAGTTGATATTAGAAATCAATTGAGATTAATATTATGCTAAAAAGATTGTTCATTGACGGGTAAATTCAGTAAATTACACTTCTCTATAATTTCAAGGAGTTAGTACATGATTTTCTATGAAATCCATGATGAAATATCTAGAAATCAACAAACTTCATGGATCTCCAAATAGATAGCGAGCGCGCGAGAGAAAGAGAATTCGTTATGCTTGTTACATTTAGGGTTTCTTTGGTGTATCTGAACAATAATTACTTCTATTCAAGGGCATAAAATTTGGGTCTCAAATCAACCAGACGGAGATCATGCGGCAATCAAACTCAATCCCCCTTTTGAAGTTTCTTGAATTACACTCGAGGTAATTAGATTCACAGATAGTTTTCAAAGAAAGATTGGAAGAATCAGGACCCTTTGCCCCTCCCATCCTCCCCTTCTTCCCCTCCCCAATAAATAGTTAGCCCTTGCTCATCCGTGAAGACCCTCAACCAATACAATGGCAATTTCATATTTTAAGAGTTAAAAATCGAGGAGGAGTGAGTAGCGCTAATGATTCTCTCTAGTCGCTAGTCTCACGCCCATCGCGGAATGTTCAAATTGAGTCATAACTATTCTGTAACACTCGCGATCCAAAGATTCGAGGTTGGCGAGCCCGTTATCATGACCTTTTCAAGACATTACTGGCCAAAAAGTTTCTCCTCACGAGTTACGCAATCTTCAGATCAAGCCAAAACTACTTTGCATCGCTCACGATCTGAATGTCTGAGGTTGGTGAGCACCTCACTATTGCCCCCACGAGATGTCAGTGATCGCAAAGTTTCTTCGCACGAGTTATTCCACAATTAGGCAATGCAATAAGAATCGTTCAGTAATTCACTCATTGCATAATCAAACTCATGACCTCATGAAAGCTAGGCAACTCATCTACCCTTATACTATATTAACTCGATCGTAGGGGAGAACCTAGATAATATAAGAATCAAACACATGATCGTACTTGGAATGTCACATATTCTACTATATCTCAAGCCACATCCCATTTTAAGAAGAGCTTGCGGACAAAAGGACAGCGCGACAATGCATAAACAGCCAGGAGACCGTGTACACCGATGCTCCACAAGGTTGGCCACCTGGGTTTGTTTTTTTTAACTCTGATGCATGATGGAACGCCCGCCTCTATTGCGTTCTTTTGTCCCCTCTCAACCGATTTTGCCTTTGTTTAAGGAACCCTCCTCCTTCTCGACAAGTGCGTCGGACACGTCCAAAAGAGTTCCTATGTCTTCCAGGTTGTCCCTATTTACCGGCAATTAGGGGCACGATGCAGAGCAGACGGCCTCAAAGCGACAAAGAAAGGGGAAGAATTGATGCCTGCCACGACAAACATAGTACGGTAATGACACAACTTGAAAATTTTTCATTCTATATCACTCTTAATTTTCTTGTTTTCCCCTCTCATCTATATGTTATTATAACATTGAAATGCGAAAAATGTAAAATCTACCAAAGAAAAAGGACAAAATGGCAAAAGCCAGAAGTTACTAAACCATTTTTCCACTAGAAAGTGCGTTTAATGAAATTCTTTAATTGTCTCCCTCTTTCTTTTTCTAGATTTTCGAACAAATGCGTTTTGAAATTATTGAAAGAAATATCAAAATGTTCATTTATTAGTGCTGCCTTTCTAGAAAAGAATTAGTATAGTGGTAAATTAAAAGAAAACAATGTCAAGTATTTTGTTGGGTCATTCAATTGAAGTAGTTAAATTGTAATTACTTGGTCATGACATTGCATAAGGAAGAAAACAATTGCGCATGAAAACTGGCATCATCTTTAATTGAAAAATTGAAGCAAGTTTGAAACTGTCTTGTGGTTACATCTCACAATGTTCCTTGGTTGCATCTTGTCGGACTACGATCGTCGAGCATCAATCCACCGTCCTAAAAATATCGTACTTTAATGCATTTTCACATAATCCCTACACAAAACGCAGAGTGCCGTGCCACACGAACAATTCAAAAGGTTTTCAAAAAACGATCGAGATATGTTCTCTTGTGACCCAATCGGGCACCAATCACCAAGGATCGGATCTTCATAGATCTGTAGAAATGCCTCTCATGCTCATGGTCGTGTGAAACGTTCTCTCTTCGTGCCAAGATGCTGGATCCATTGGCACTTGGCCGTGTGCAATAGCGACAATATTGCAGAACATGGATCGACCCAATCAACGAGCTGTCTTTGTTGGAAGAATGAAAACTTGTCCTCAAAATTGCCCGAACCACGACATTCCCCTTGTAATAAGGACCTAAACACACCCTCCATCCACGTGTGGTTTTCTTATATAAACAATTTTGAGATCCTGCAATGTGGGGTCATAAGTAATATAATAATAATCTTAATTGCTTAAGCCAATGCAATTTCCTCCTTTTCTCGCCGTTACCTCAAGAGCATCTAAATGTGATCTTCCATCCAAATGCAACTTTTTAACCCATTTAGAGACAATGTATTTGACTTTTCATTTTCCATACAATGTATTTCTGTCCGACCCAATATTAGTTTCTAATAATATTTATCTGGAATTGTTGGCACCCAAAAAATGCCCAAATCTTTGATTGTTTACTTGGGGCTGAGAGATATTGAGCGAAATACAATGAAGGTAAAATTGGTCAATTGTTAAAGGCTCTTAGTCGGCAAGTATTATTGGTCGACTAAGTTAATGGGTCTGGCCGACGGAACTCATCACATGAGTAAGTAATGCTTGACCTAGACAGCAAAGGGCCACGACTAAGCAAAGTGGTAATCTATGTAATGGAGCCGAGAATTTTGGACACGATTCGCTAGGGCTCATCGATGCAGATCTGAAGAAGTGAAATCAAACAATCATAAGGTAATGAATGCCGCAGATTTGAAAGCCATTGATGATAGAGGCCAAGAAATGTGGGTTATCGCAACCGTTGAGTAATGGAATGAGGGACTTCAAAAGTAACCGATGATGCTAGATGTGAAGAGTAGAGGAGCAACTGTCAAGTAGTGGAGTTATATCTACATGTTGATTAACTGTTTGTAAATACAGGTTGCTGAATTTTAGGAGTCAAGTAAAATACATTTGATTTTCTCATAACAGTTGTTGATCGAAGGTGGTAGTTATAAATACTAGGATTGTAATTCATGCAAAGAACTGTCAATCTATCAATGAACACCAGTCGTTCGATTTTACTGCCAATTTATCTTTACTTTTGACTACCCTTTTACCGAACACGATTGTCTCCAATCTCAATATTTTTAATTTGCTCGTCAATTCGCATATGATGTCTAATCGCACAAGCCATTCACTTTTCCCCTCTTCCCCCCCCCACCATTATTGAAAAAATTCTTCCCGAAAACAAAGCATATCAACCGTTGCATCTCTCTCAGATCAAGTAAACTATACGGATAGTAGCTCAATTGAGTTATACACCTGAGAAAGGATTAAGAAATCTAATAATGAGTCGTTATCTGAAGGGCTTTGCTCTAGCTAGTATAGAAACATTTTAGGAGACTGCTTGTTTGGATTGGCCTAGACCTATACATCATTACTTAGCCTATCCATTAACTAGTTGAGACATAGCAACTGTATCGAGTTTGACCCACGTATGCATATCACACTTATCTTTTACCAAACATTAATTCACCCACCTCTTTTAACTCCCGCTTTCTACTCAACCAGCCACCATCGCCGCTCATCGGAGCTGTTGTAGTTACCACTGTTGCAAACGACATTAGTGCCATCCACCACCGAGAAATCTCCGGCTGCCATCGGTTGATAACTCCCTAACCACAACGGCCATCGTCTTCGGATTCATCTCTCTTAGACTTCAATTGAAATGAGATTTGGCCCCTCTATCGCAGATTTTGTGCCTGCCATAGAGGAGTTGTTTCTCCTCACCATCAAATCGATGCCAATGAGATGGATCTCATCCCTGTTGACGTGGCAGTGGAGAAACACACGGAATAAAAAAAGGGAAAATAACAAAAATATTGTCCATCAACTTTGGGTTGATGTTCAATGCCATCCTTAGACTTTTAATACATTCAATGTAATCCTTGAATTATTCTGAAATGTTCAATATAGTCCCTAAACTTTTAATTTGTTTAATTTAGTCTTTCAACTTTCCATCACAAAGTCAAACAATCCTTCGGTACTATTCACAAGTTGTTATAATCGCATTATCACCCAGATTTTAAAATTTCTTTTCATTTTAATTCATTTCCTAAATCAACAATAAAATATGTTATGTTTAAATTACCCTTTTACCTTTTTGGTCTTATAAATATTACTTTAGTTCAAGTATATTTTTACTTTTGATCTCTATAATAATAAAAATACAACCCCATTTAGAGTTTTATTATATTAATATTCCTTTTATTTAAAAATAAGTGTTCTCATAAGAATATTTTATTTAATTTTTCTATGGATTTCTCGTACATATATTAATCTAAATCCTGTTCCAATTTTTTAGATAGATAAAATTTTCAATTTTTTGTATTTCTCATTTTCTTAATTAAA